CTCACGCACGAGCCTCTGCGCGTGCACGGTACGGTTCCGGGCGCTGCAGGGCTCTAAGCGACACTGTGGGCGACCAGAGCAGGTGATGTCTTACGTTATCCCTGTTTCTAGTTGGCCACAGTCTGCCCTGGCGCTTCAGCCAATCATAGAGCAGCGCGCATACTGGATAGCATGCGCCTACCTGTTCCACTTCCAACACACCGCCAGTACCGTAGTGCTGTCGTGGTCTGAACACATTCGTTGCTTGGATTCTCGCCAGCATGACCAAGTGCGGAACTGCTTCTGGAAGTCAGCGCCATCGTCCGGGGTCTCCCACTCCATTGACCTTTCATTTTCACCGTTTTGGAAAGACCCTTGTGCTCGCTTACTCAGGGGACGGGCCGGCGGGTCAGATAGCAGAGCCGTCATGATAGTGCGTTGGATGGCCGTATAAACCGGTCAGCTCCGGGCCGCCAGGCAACGGATGTCGCTCTCGGGCACCCGCTGGTTGGATGGCCGTATAAACCGGTCAGCTCCGGGTCGCCAGGCAACGGATGTCGCTCTCGGGCACCCGCTGGTTGGATGGTCGTGTAAACCGGTCAGCTCCGGGTCGCCAGGCAACGGATGTCGTTCTCGGGCACCCGCTGCTCGAGATACGCCGCCAGGGCGACGCCCGGGCCGCGTCGTATCGCACGCTGACACAAGCTGGCGGTCCCATCACCAAGTTCAGTCCACTTCCTCGCGGAGGGTGACGTAAACGCAGCTCCACTATCAGGGTGTCGCAGGGAATCACGGGCGCTGTCAGCTCCCAGCGGTCCAGTCCAGGCGACGCTCGGTTTAAGGACTGGAAGCCATGTTGTCGCTGCCTTACACCACATTATGCTCCTTACTAGGGCGACCAGTGTTTTCGTTCGGTAGAGGCTCGGTACACGGAATGGTGCTAAATGAAAAGATAAGAGACAGGATGGATGCAAAGGGTAATGAGCTGTGCCCAATGTGTCATTGTGAGCTGAACGACGACTTGATCATAACGAAAGAAAGGCCCTAATCTGTTGGCGGTGCATTCGGCATTGGGAGCTCATTTACTTCTTGCCTCTATTAAGTCGATGAATTTAAGTTGGGAGTCACCGGTATTCTGTATGGATAAATATTTTCATCATTTGTCATTATTTAAAGGTTTTTCAAATGTCACCTTGGAATGAATTCGTCGTATCCGTATTTTTTTAAAAAGCTGCCTGGCGTCTGACAGCAAGACCTAACTGTATTACGGAACTACTACTTTTGCAAGGTAACACACATGTCAACCATATGTGCAGTGCATATTCCTTTTTAGTGCTGAGACGCGGGCTGAGCTTGGCGGTCAGCTTTCTGCCCTGTCTCGTTCTGTTAAGCACAGACGGGCTTGTGACGACCCACTCACTAAAATAGCCGTCCTTACGGAGAGCTCCACCTCTCGCTGCCTATTTCTGGCGTCGGATAATAGACCGCACACGCCACCCTCTGTCGGCGACACCACCATGACCACCGACCGCGACCCCTCTGCCCCCCACCCCGCTCTGTCCCCCGCCTCTATTGACGGCCGGCGCCGGGGACAGCCGACCGCACCGGCTGCCGCGAATCCGTTCACTCGATCGGTCAGGTTAGCGGGGGACAGCCGACCCGACAGCCGATTCCGCTCGATTCCAGAACCATGTCTGGTCGAGCAGGTGGTGGACTGGATGCCGATGGCGAAGTCAGGCGATGACCAGGTGGAGGGCGACACAGAGCATCGTTTAAAATGAAGCAGGGAACGAAACTATTACGATGCTCCGCGGAGTAGTGCAGGATGGAAAAAAATGACAATGACATCTATGAATGTCGCCTAGCCTTTTAGCTGTCCAGGTTTATCAGCTGCTCGAAACTTACGGAGGACAAGCACTAATACTCCTGTGTGCCCATCTGGTGACTGGTCTCCTCCTACCAGAGGCGCTGATATCCAGAAGAACACTGGAGTCGTGCAGATGCGCACTGTGTATGCCTCCTACTACTGCATACGAAACCACGTCGATTTCTCCGGCCTCCAAGTCGTGGGGCCGCGTGGTTTATAAGAAGGATGGGCTGCCATGACACTTCTCTCTCTCTGATCACATGAACTAATTTTGTGAGAACAAGCTCAAATGCTGTGTGCGGCTCAGTGTTTTAGCCGGCGCCGGGCGGTAGCAGTCGTCTTGTGTGCGTCAGGCGAGGCAGGGTGTTAGTGTTTTAGCTGGCGCCGGGCAGTAGCAGTCGTCCTGTGTGCGTCAGGTGAGGCAGGGTGTTAGTGTTTTAGTCAGCGCCGGGCAGTAGCAGTTGTCTTGTGTGCGTCAGGTGAGGCAGTGTGAGCACCCCTCGTCATCTGCTCCAGAGTTGTAATGAGCCTGTAAAGCTTAGACGGTTTCTTCACTACCAATGAGCTCAAAATCTGTTCAATCTTCAGGTTAATTGGAAAATATGAGGTCCGGTTGTTTATAAGGCCTCAAAACAAATGTGAAAAATTGTGACCTTTGACAGTGTATAAAGCGATTCAAGGAGAGGAATAGATCAGAACCATCAGAGGCCATCAGCACTTCCCTTGATTAGTCAATTTACCTATCCGGTCACTTGTTTGACGTGCTTGATAAATATTGTTGCTTACCGTTATATGAGAACATTTGTAAGACCTATTGCTACATCTGCTAGTTAAGAACTAGTGCTACATGTAGAAAAGGGCAAACCAACTTAGAAAATTGTATACCTAATTATTTCAAGGTTCGAATAAATTTCAAAAGAGATTAATGGGAAGGTTTTTAAGGAATTTGTGTGTCAGTATGTTGTCTGAAATTTAGGCGTGATGTAACTGAGTAGCAAGTCTATGTAATCCGTTGCTAGAGTTCCAAATCCTTCTTAGGTATCTCACAGGAACGTATGCTAATTTATCAGATCGCTACATAGAGAAATGCAAATTAATGAGCAACACAACCATGATTAAGCGTCTTATGGACCATCTCGAAGGGATCGCCTTTCCTTCTTCAAATGCATAGCTCCAAATGCAATCATTGTGTCTGGGAGGCAGGTACGTCGTTTGGTGACACTCTTCTGCAGCGTGGGCCGAGTACCCTTTGGCTGGCCTCCGTCGTTCGACCCCGGCCCGGCAATCGGCGGCCGGTGGGAAATGACTGAGCGTCGCAGGAGATGAGCGGGGTCCTCATTATGAAGCCAGGGATCACTAATTCCGATCTCATCCTGTGGTTCACATAAATGGACGTGCTGCACGCCCATCAACAGCTAGAATATATTTAGAAACAGCTCATCGACCCATTATGCGCGTGGAAACCATCCATCTGAAAGGTGGAATCAACGTATGAGAGGGATGGTGGCCACACACGACTTTGCGATTTGCAAGAGTCAGTAGACATAAACTGAAAAGATGCTGATAATCTGAGACAGGAGGTAAAAGACAGTGAAAACGGGTCATTGCCTGTACCCAACGGTCCATACACGCGCATACCTGTTCTACTATGCTTAGCACGCTTTTATTTCGTAAGTTCGACGCTCACGTAATATAACAATGTAAAACTTGCTCCGGCACATCCCGACGGCGGAACACAGCGGGGCGTTGCGCGCATGGCACCGACGTTCGATTGGACGTCGGTGGACGTGTGGTTAACCATACGCCACAACCCTCCCCCATACACCAACATTCCTGAGCTTTGTCTCGCTCACTTCTAACTAAATATAGCTCTTCATGGATTTATTTTACAAACCGATCACAAGCGTGGTGTCCGATCAAATCTTTGTCTTTTAAATTCAATCCTCCCTTCATCGCACTGACCTCAAAGGTCACAAATCCAAACCAGGTACATCTATACTTCTCCCTCCCCTAAACTAAAACAAAAACGAAAAAGATGACTGAAGACTTTCCACAATACTCGAAGGAATGGGCTGCTTGTTACTGAAAAACGCGTGTAGCAGCGACCATTGGCTGCAAAGATACAGGCCCTCCAGGAGCACACGTGACGGCGGGGCCGGCTCGCTCAAGCTGAACAATTTTCTAGCAGTCCAAGCAAGACGTTTTTGGTCCCCCATCTCGCTCGCCATCACCCATCACCCACGTCAGCGGCGTGTGAAGCCATCACTACATGCGGTTGGCCTTTGGAGTACATGTATTTTGAGAACTCACTCATGTGTTTTGAGTACTCACCCATATGTCTGGAGTATCTTCTAATGTGTTTGGAGTACCCACTCTTATGTATGGATTCTCGATTAGTACTATTAGTACTCGATTAGTACTAGATTAGTACGCGTCGGCTAGTTAGGCCACACTCATGTGTTTGAATTACCGAATCCTTTGTTTGGAGTGTTCAGTGTTTAGTGTAGTGTGCACATGTGTTTAGAGTACCCACTCATATACTGTATCGAGGAGCAATGATCGCAGGCATACACACAGAATGAAAGGCAACAAATAACCCGTTGTGGTCCCCATGACTCGATCTGACACGGTATGGAATCTTAACGACATTATGCTAAGTCATGATTAATCATAGAAACGGCCCTGGCATACTACGTTTAGATGATGCTAAGAGGTGACAGTTTTCACGACTTTTCTGATTGGCGGAGAACTGCATGACATGCAATGGTGTAGTGCATCCTCCGTTGGTGGTCCTGTACTGCCTGCGGAACTACACAATTTCTGGGTGGATCGAGTGTCCAGTCGATCCATTAAGCAGAGTGAACCCTGCACCCGAACGCACCTAAACTGCTAGGCGAACTTTATTGACGCTTAACCAGATGCTCGCTCATGCCGCTGTATGAAACATACAAAGTTATCATGAACAGCCCATCTACCTAGCTCGGAATTTCATCTTTTTTGAGTTGCGGATGTAAGTTAACCACAAATCATGAAGTCGGACACCCTTCACTTGCATTCGCTACCAAACTGGGAGAAAACGCAAGCGAGGAAGGCGTTGAAAATACAAACCCTTTCACACATCGCACTAATCTTGTGTGTGTGTTCTGTGTTACAGGACTGCCCCCTGGCGTGGACCTGAGCCAACTGAGTGCGGAGGAGCGGGCCATCATTGAAGAGGTCATGCACAAGGCGCAGCAGTTCGACCAGGAGGGCGCCAAATCCGGGTACGTGTTGCTGTGCGTCATAGTTTTAATTTGTTCTACCTCAGATATAGGACACAGCCCCTCAGTGTGCATAAAATGCACCGAAAATAATCTGCCAACACGTGTCCGTTTTCGCCGCCGTGCTTTGCCTAGGGGCACACAGCTGGACAGGAAGATACAAATTATTTGCCACAAATGTGAATATCTTGTCAGCTGCAAGAGAACCAGGTCATGTAGCATGTTAAAAGGGATGAACGATCATACATAAAACCCTCTTCCTCTTGTAAAGTTGCATTCTTTGTAAAGGGCGAACACGGCTTGTAATGATATGGTACACCATGAGCTTTGGCACGCGTTCTTTTATGTCACGCCCCTGAAAGTTTTATCGCGCCAACAAATTCTGCTGTCTAAGCTGTTGACCACCCCCTTTTCTTTCCCTGGAAAAAACTATCAAATGATGGACCCGGAAACCGATGATGGTGTTAGATGGACCAGGAAACCGGTATGGCAATGCGCGCCCTGACATGGCAGGTGAAAAGGGGAATACTGAAGAGCAAGGATGAGGTGCTGGAACATCCACCTCACAGTCCGGCCGTCGTACCTTCTCATTTCCAGCGGTTTAGTGGGTCGAAAAGGTCATTGAAAGGAAGTCAGCTCAGCCGCCGCAGTGATTTATCACCAGCGGCGAACACCAGCATCGAATAAATATTCCATTTTTGCCTGAACAAGTGTATAAGCGATCTTGTTCGATGGGGAAAGACTGTTTCAAGTGTTGGATATCATTCGTGAAAATATTTCAGGCCGATATATGCATTTGTCCTATTTCCAGAGTGGTTTGTTCCTTCCTATATTTATTTCCTGACATTATTTGTCACTAGTGACTATGGATTATCCATAATGTTCGGTTCCACACCATTAGAAACTTATTTTAAAACGTGCTTATTCTAATAAAAAAAAATTGAAAACACACTTGCTCCAGCGACCGCTTAACAGCATTGCGGTTGCATTTAGCTGTCATCCGAAGTGGTCGCCGATAGCATAATTTCTGACAGATTTCATCGCGCATTGCCCATTCCAAGGCTTATTTGGTGTTTAAGTTAACCCAGTTTGCTTATTCAATCGCATATCATAAAAACGGTCTCAGGTCAGACACATACACCAAGGAAGTACATACGTGGCCCCGTGACGCTCGTATCTCTAGTAGTTCAATAGACGACTTCGGGCGTTCTGAAACAGGCTTTCGACGAATTGAGGTCACCCTCCGGCAGGTCGACGCCTGACAGCGGTCCGACCAATATACTTCAACGAGCCGCCGGGGGCTCCTCTCACACCGCATCGGTTACCTGTCAGACCCGCGCCGCTCTGAGACGCGTCGTTGGAGAGACGCACTGTCGTAGTCGGAGGCCTTTAGGCGCACCGTTTGACGTTTACGCGTCTGGTAAACCTGGCAGTGTTCGAGGGACTCGAAGAGGGGACTAAAGCGTCCGTTGGTACATACGATCAAGGGTCCGATTGAAGGACCGAAAGGCCCGAAGACTGACTGCAGGCCATATTAAAAATCTCCTTTTGTAGGGCCGGGATCTCATATGTCAGTCACAGTGCCTCTTGCATCAATTGGGAAACGCTGGGACAGTCGGGTCTCTATTGCTGCCAGTAACTACCAGCACCGAACAGTCGGCTCCGTGACATGATCTCCGACGGCTCATTTTCCAAGCAGGGACAAGGCCCCGCGATTTGCATTGATCGGGCCCCGAAAGAATGAGGCGCCCCTGTGTCGGCTAGCGGCCCAAGATGCTTGACAGGGGTCCTGTGTCCGTGACGTGACCCGAGACGGCCAGTGTGGTACGGTGGAAGGATCTCGTGTTAGTCAGGGCCCTAACTACCGAACGTTTGCCTGAGGTCGACCATCCTTTTGCATAATCAGCTAGTGCAACAAGCTACAACACCGGGCGTCGAAATTTTTGGGTTATGATACTTGCTAGCACGCCTGTTGAGAACCATGCTGCATAATTTCTCACTAAACCATTCCAAACGAAAGTTGCACATTCCCAACCAAACATGGACTGGTCTTGCTCACACCAGTCATTGACCTCACTTTGACCTACAATCTACGCTCACGGGGCGCTCCGTACAACCCAGCAAAATCTTACAGCACATCTGAGTGCTGTCGGCTTAGAAAGGGTCAACTAAACCATTGTAAAATTGGTAGCACCGGTGGTTTTCCATGCAGCCATTTAACGCCCGTTTCTTTCAGCTGATTGGTGAATGAATGGACACAGAATCGCATCTTCGACGGCTTCTGTTCAGTAAAAAAATGCAAAAATAAAAATCAATGAAAATCGCAGTGGGGGTGCGGAGGGGATATATATTTATGTATATATATATATATATATATATATATATATATATATATATATATATATATTTATGCACTCAATGTTTTTTGAGGGGATTGCTGCGGAGGGGACAACTATCAGTGTGCCCTTTGTTAACCCGCCCCCCCCCCCCCCCACCAAGACTTTGGCCGCTCCCTGAACACTACGTTGCCATACACTAAAAGCAACTAATGCTGTATGTGAATGTGTCAGTAACCCGCAGTCGACGCCCAGGTGGTTCATGCCTAGGATAAAAACTTTGTGCACTGCTATGGACACAATGAGCAAATTTCATTCAAAAATAGGATGCTAAAATAACTGATAAGGATACGCCACAACGCTCTTCGTACACACTATTATCCGGTAGACCCAAATGGTTTAAACAGCGAGCATTTCCCCACTGACTTTTCTCAATAAGTGGGCCTGATGCGTCAATGGGAGCGTCTCTGGCGCCACGCCAGCCTCGATCTTCGGCTGAAGGTCATGGCTTCTATGCCATGACTTCGGCTGAAGGTTACGGCTTCTATGCCATGACCTCGGCTGAAGGTCACGGCTTCTATGCCATGATTTCGGCTGAAGGTCATGGCATCTATGCCATGATTCGGCTGAAGGTTCATGGCTTCTATGCATGACTTTGGCTGAAGGTCATGGCTTCTATGCCATGACTTCGGCTGAGGGTTATGGCTTCTATGCCATGACTTCGGCTGAAGATCATGGCTTCTATGCCATGTTATGACAGTGGCAGTCACCGCTGACGGTCAGTTCGAGCGGTCTGCCGCGTCGTGCGTCGCTCGTTTCTTTTCTACAATAAGATTGCAATATAGTTTATCGCAGGATCTTTTAACAGTTCATGTTATAATTTACGTGGGAGCTCCATAAGCAATCATGTATAGATAACACCTGTCATGTGCACTGCATTACGATTGTGGGGTTTTGTGTCATCAGCTAGTTGCTGGTATACCCAAGCCAATGCATAGCAATGCAGCATAGCAGGCGTACAGTAAACACCTGTATATGGGAATAAATTTACTCCGCATTCTAAGCTAAAAGTATGTGCGAATGAATACACTCAGTACATAAGCAAGACCTTGCCGACCCAGTGCCTTTTAAATTGGGCGGAAAGCCAATTTTCGATCATGTCAGCCCCAGAGCTGAAGCACTCTGTCAGCCTCACGCCAGGAGCACATCATGGGTAGCAGCCTGCCCCGCGTGCGGCGCTTCGCTGTGGCCCATCGCCTTTCGCTCGTGTGGAAGACAGGGTAGCGCGCGTCCGCTGCTCGTTGCACTCGGTAGCCCATGTGCATTGGCCTATGCGGAACTCTGGTAAAGCGCAGAACTCTGCTGAAGTCCCGAACTCTGCTAAACTTTCCGTGGTGAGTACACCCAATAAACTGCCATGGCTATAGCCACCACTGGGGTCGGTGGGGCCCGCCTCTATATCCCAGTAACTGTTGGGCTGATGGCGATAATTTTGAGTTTTCCATTGTAAAGAAGCATCAAGGCAAATTGGACCAAAGTGAAGCTGGAGTCCGGATCTCAGTGACCTCATGGATGCATGATATAAGAAGGGAAGGTCTTTAGCTCCTGGTATCTCGGTATTTTGAGTCGAATGTTTTTCTGTTGGGTTAACAATCTTTAGTACGTCAATAAATGCTGGCTAAACGACTTGGCAATGGTAAATAACCATTGTACTGAAGTTACTCAACGTTTCGAGTTGCGCTCATCCTCAAAAGTGATGCCGAGGGGTCGTGCGTCTGGGTGACGTCCGGCAGGCCGCACTGCGGTCTGGTGCGGCACTTGACGTCCGGCTGGCCGTTCGGCGGTCTCGCACAGCAGCGGTCTGGTCCTCCAGCGGTCTGGCCCTCCGGCGGTCTGGCGCAGCAGCGGTCTGGCCATCCAGAGGTCTGGTGCAGTGGCGGCCTGCTCCTCCAGCGGTCTGGCACAGCAGCGGTCTGGTGCAGCAGCGGTCTGATCCTCCAGCGGTCTGGCACAGCAGCGGTCTGGCCGTCTAGCGGTTTGGCACAGCAGCAGTCCGGCCGTCCAGCGGTCTGGCGCAGCAGCGGTCTGGTCCTCCAGTGGTCCGGCGCAGCAGCGGTCTGGTCCTCCAGTGGTCTGGCGCAGCAACGGTGTGATCCTCTAGCGGTCTGGCGCAGCAGCAGTCTGGCGCAGCAGCAGTCTGGCGCAGCAGCGGTCTGGCACAGCAGCGGTCTGGCCCTCCAGCGGTCTGGCGCCCCATTTGTCGTCTGACACTCTGAGGATGAGCATAGTTCGAAATATCGTCAATATCGTCGAGATCGAGCACCGCCAATGTACCCGTGATTTACCATACAACGTCGCTTAACCAGTATCTCCTGGTGTATTGACGGCCGTTAACTCAGCATAAGAACTTTCAACTAACAAAACCAATGCGCACAGTCACGCTTCAGTAAAGCGGCGTCTTTTAGTATTCCTAGAATATTGCCATCATATGACCATAAAACGTTCAGGGGAATGTTCCACATCTGAAGAGACTGAAGCAAGCATCAGATATGATGAAGTGGCCCACTTAAAACTGTTGGTGTCCTTTTAAGTAGAAAAGCCTGCTCCAGGCAACGCGGTTCCTCTGTTAATTAACGTATTCCTCAATGTGTCATCGCTTGATTGACA